GCAACACTATCAACAATTGAAAGCATCAATCAGTGAGATATATATGCCGTTCTCAATTTCCGTATCTGAACTCCCACATGTAATACCTCATATGCATCCTTTTAATTCTTATACATAAACTACCATGTCATTCAAACATCTAATCCCTTTTATTCCCTTGAGCAACTTTAACCACAAATCTGAAAAATGTTTCTATTCAACTCCTCGTTTAACATTCTAAAACAATTTCTTGGCATCAAGAACCATACAATAGCAGCATCAAATTAGTTCTCAGCTCAAGCACGTTTAAACAATCATCGTTGCATCCTTGGACCCACTTTTGCTCATCTAAAAGCAGACCCACTAGAAAGGAAAAGCATAAAAGCACAATTGTATCAGGCACCGAATGGTAGTGCCCTGCCTATCATTAAATAATGAACAGTGTACAAAAAAGGACAAATAAGTTTGTTATGAATAGGGCAACGTGGCCCTAGGGATAAGAGAGAATCTGGAAAGAATTAAAGAATATTCTTCTTAACATATTACAGGAGACTAAGTATGATCATGTTCTAATACCACTCTTTATACAGAAACAGCTAAAATATACACTTGTATTATCTATCTATGTTATTTGAGCATCTCATTATTCTCCTTGATTTCCTTACAATTGAAACAGTACCTCCTTTTTCTTAATTCCATAAAATTTCCAGATCAAGAACAATGTTTAAATTATCATTCTAAAGTGTCTACACTTAGTTGTACCATCTAAAATAATTTTTAGCACTTAAAAACATCCAACAGTATGCTTCACATTGATACTTAGCTTCAAATTTCAGCCCATCAAATCATAATATCACGCACACATACATATATATTCTAACACAGCCCCAAAATCCTCTTATACAAGCTTAATCCATGGCCCATACCAACCTCCTCTATTCTCCATTAATGTTTCGGGTAGCTAGGAAAAATTTTCTGGATTTAGTATAATGCAACCGAAGCATACGTATATACATACACATATGTTACCTTTCGTTAAATCCAAGAACTAATTCAAATCAGCCATGGCAACCGTGTCTCTGTGTGTGTGTGTAAGCTTCAGTTCTCCCTTTTCATGTAAATCCCAGAATCACCATCACACGTTTAGCACATCTAGGCGACGATATACACACACACACACACATATATACTGCTCCTCTTCCTACTCAGAAATTTGTCAGCACCGAGAAGCAAATAAGAAATCTGATTTCCAAAACAAGTACTCCAGATTCAAACAACTAGAAAACAAAGAAGTAACTCAACATGGATCTCCATATATATTCATGTATTGCATGTTTCCTCTCTCCTAACACCACATATTCGACGCCTTGCAACCAGAAACATTCATACTCTGTTCGCAGAATCATAAAATAGAGACAGCAGCAACATGGAATCACAAAAATACTTCCACATACTTCAATCTTGCCATAGAACATGAATTCACCGATCCTTCTCTCCTTTACTTCACTTTCTCTCACTACCCCATCACTCTCTCTACAGTTATAGCCAACAACAGCACTAAACCAGAAAAATGAAGACGAAGTGAGACTCAAAAGGCTCACCTGAGTCTGAAACTCTGTTTGCATGCAAGAATCCGGCCACCCATCACCCACCTCCGTCTCCTTGTTGCTCTCGGTCTCTCCCCTCTCTTTTCTCTCAGTGTGCAGATGATAAAATGAGAAGGGAGTGAGTCACTGATGATTAAATGGAGAGGGTAACACGTGAGGTGGGGTGTGGGTCGCTGTGTTGATTTTGCCATTCAAGTAAACCTTGTCTTCACTTTGATCCTTTCTCTATTTTTCTGAAATTAGAGAATCAACCCAGAAATTATTCCACCAACTTTTATATGGATTTTTCTTATCCATTAGCTTCTTTATACATAAAATAATGTCCATAAAAATTTCTGGTCAAAAATCGTCTCTTAGCTATTTTTCTTAAATTTTCCAGGAAAATAGCCATTAATTCCAGAAATTAATCCTTAACCTATTTCAAGGATTTATGCCTCAAATAATTTCTTTATCTTATAAAATATTTATCCTAAAATTTTCAGCACAAATATAAACCTCTAACTATTTTTTCTTGAATTTCTAGAAAAATAGGTCGTTATCTATAGAAATTAGCTTTAAAACCATTTAAGTCATATTTGGGGAATTGAACCTCTTCATAAATTTTATAAATCCTCAAAATAATATTCCGTAATGTCTCCCAAATTTTATTAGGTACTAAATAATTTTAATAAATATTTTCCAACTTAATCTCCTTATAATTTTGCCCAAAAATAAGCTTTTTAAACAATAAAATAATCTTGAGACTCTATTCATTAAGATAATTCCTTTGACCCTCATGATTCCTCAAGAGTCTATTTTTCAGAGCTTTAAAATTTTGGTATGTTACAATTACTTATCCCCGAGTGTTTTAATTCCAAAGAATTCTTAAATAAATTTAACAAAATAAATATTTATATTTTAATCATTTGATTAGTATTCATTTGATGCTTTCATATTTTTAATTCAATTTAAAAAAACTTAATTAATTCTAGAAGAAAATTATATGAGAATGCTTTAAAGTTTGATTGAAATAAAGAATATGAATCCATGTTGTAAGATGGCGGGCTTTTTTTTGGAAGGGAGATGAGCTAAGAAGACTATCGACAGGTTAGAGGGAGATGGTGATTTTTTTTCCTTTTACTGGGAGTATTTTTGTACTTTAATTAAAAATAGTGGATCCCATACTGCTAAAAGTGACTTTGAATTTTCTTAAAGAATGAATATAAACATAAAAAATATTCAGATTAACCGTTAAATTTGATAACATAGATTGGAGGATAAATACACAATTCAATATGCCATTGGTACAAGTAACTTATTTTTAAAAAATACTTATAATGTCTCATAAAAGAAAAGATTGGAGACACAAACACCTTACTTTAAACAGCAATTTAATTCAAGCTGAAACTTTTTTACGCAAGTTAGTTTAATTATAAAAATTTATTATAATTAATAATCTCTAACACACTTTAATGCAATAGCCCTTTAAGATTAGGAGTATTTTGGTACTTTTATTAAAAATTATATGGTGTTTGGTGAACTTTTAGTAAAAGTTCATCGGTATTTTGACCTTTAAATTTTTTTTATTTTAATTGAGGGTATTTTGGTACTTTTATTTTAAAAATTATGGGTCCCACTCCATAAAAAACAAACGTTAACGGCACTGTCATTATTGACCTCTTTTTAAATTTTGATTAGTATATTTGAACCCAAAAAAAATTTTATAGTATTAAGTGAAATTTTAGTATATTTTTATATGTATTTTTTACTTTTAACCCAAATGACAATTCATATTATTTTAAGATAATTAATTTATTCAAAATACAACCATTTTAGATTATCATATATAACTTAAAGAGTATACATTGCATTCATTGCCTAAAACATAATTAATTTTTCAAATGAAACTCTACAAATCAAATTAATACTACCTCCTATCCTAATTATAAGACCCAGTATTGACTAATTTGGGGAGATAAGGAACTTAGTTAAGTTAGTTATTTGTAATGAATAGGTATTATTTTTCCTAAAATATCTTTGCTAATCAAGTTTATTATCTAGAACTACCATTATTAGAAGGACGATCTTGAAAAAAGTGGATAAATGTGAGAGACAAAGTGGATTGGGATCTTATATTTAGGACCAAAATAAAAATCAAATAAGGTCTTATATTAAGGACCAGAGATAATATAATGAAATTTCAAAAATCAACTCAGAATTCTTGTGATGACAAGTGAAAATGCCTACATTAACAAAACTTTTAGCATCACAAAGATGACAAGTTAATGTGCGAGCATTAATGGTTGTCGTGACATTTGTTAATACCTAATATCAATGTGCATTATGTACTTGTTATTAACAATTAAATAGCTATATTAACATCTATTGTGGCATGTATTAACGAGTAAGGCTATTAGCAAGGATAATGAGGTCTTTTTACATTTTCATTAAATTACAATCTCTTACACTTAGGCCCCTTTAGGACTTCTAATTAATTTGTAATTCTTATGGTACCTTTATGCTGTATTCTTTGTTCCTTGTGACCTTAGTGAAAATTTTCCTTACTTTTGTACGTATATAATCCTCAATAGGCCATAGGACTAGATACCTTTTGGCTGCTTTTGCTCATCTTTACCTAATATTCTTCCTCTTAGTTTGAAATAAATAACAGGATGAAAAGCTGATTTTGGAATAAAATTAAATAAATTATGTATTAAATCATTTTATAACTAAATAATTGATAACTGATTGATTCGCCCATTGGATGAAAATTGAAATTGTTATGACAAAGCTGGCACCGCAATATGTACCGAATTGTATTTTTCTCTGACCTATTATGTGTTAATTCATCCTCAATGAAAGTTGAGGATCATTAATTTCAATGCAAAGTATCTATCTTTTTTTTTTTGGGCCAACGCAAAGTTTTTCTCCCCTCTATATATTTATCTTGTTTAGTGTAACTTGCCTAACAAGGTGATATAATTGAATAAGTTTTGCACAAATATGATGGGGATATTTTTTTGTGATCAAATGTACGATTAAGATTATTTAAATGTCCCAATAGCGTAAATTTATCTTTATTCTACAAAATGCAAAACTGTGTAACTATAACATATATGTGCAAAACTTATTCAATTATATCGCCTTGTCAGGCAAGTTACATCAGAGACGTACCCAAAAAAAAAAAAAAAAGCATGCATTGAACATGTACGTCTCTTTTTTTTGGACTCAAGAACATGTACGTCTATACCATAATAATTTTAAAATCCAGCTCATTTAGGCTTTACATTTTAAAAAAAATCCCAAATATTCTTTTAAAAGAAAAAACCGTAAGAGAGGGATGCGCTCCTATAAAAGCCCTATCATATCTCACAAAACTCCTCACCGATCAAAAGCCAAGTATCGCAACAAATCCGAGTGACAGAAACCCGAAGAATGGCTTCGTCCAAGTCTGCCCTTGTCCTCTGTGTCATCAACCTCCTCTTCTTCACGATGGTAACCTCCACCTATGCGCAATCACCAACACCATCTCCTCCTTCCTCAGGAAATCAGCCAAGTTGCCCTATGAATGCACTTAAATTAGGTGTCTGCGCCAATGTGCTGGATCTCGTCGGCTTCCGCCTTGGCCAGCAGTCGAAGACCCATTGCTGTTCCCTCCTTGGGGGCCTCGCCGACCTCGATGCCGCCGTCTGCCTCTGCACGGCCATTAGAGCCAATGTCTTAGGTATCAACCTTAACATTCCCATTAACTTGAACATGATTCTCAACGCCTGTGGCAGAAACGTCCCCTCGAACTTTCAGTGTGCTTAATTCAACAGATATATATGTATCAACACTGTCTCCACTACACTATCCTCATCAAGTTCTATAGTTCCTGGTGACAAATAAATTATATCAATGAAAAGTTTATAATGATCTATATATGATTTCCCTCTATGAATAAATATTTTTTTACCATTTTTAATTATTAAACACCAAAGAAGTTTCTTTTTGAATGATAATTATATTAACGAGCTGAGCCTAAGAAATTAAATGTATAATAAAGGACCATGTTCTAATTTACATATAATTGTTATTGAATAATCGTCTGGTAGTCTTCTTTGTTTCTGTTCAATCCGAAAACCAGTAGTACTTAAATGGTCCTCAAAATTTTCTTGGTAAAAAGAAGACAGACCACGGGATCAACAAAAATGAAACAAGGGAGTTTCTCTTTACTGTAAAATAATTATCAGTCCTCAATATTAATACCATAATATAAAATGTACTCCTGCGGTCCACAACATAAAAGGTTATAGCTAAACTTTCTCACAAACTAAGAAGTGTTAATTAAGTCATTAAATATGTTAAATTGATAAAAAATTACCTATTTTACTCTCATTGAAGAATGTGATTGGAAAACTCTCTACTCTCTCTTGTATTTAAAACACTCTCTCCTCTTTGTAAGAAGGGATAAAAGTGAAAAACCATCATTAATGATCTTGTCAGCCTCTTATATTTTATATCACAATTTTCTTCTAAAACCCTTCTTATATTATGGACTAGATGGAGCACAATTTTCAATTTTATTTTTCTATGGTTTTTCTCTTCTTTCAGGAAACTTCTATGCGCATTCTGCGCAGGAAAAAGTATTTAATTAATAAATATTAATAATAGCAAGGTTATAAGTGGAATTAATTAACGTGTTCAAGACTTTTGGCAAAAGAGCATATAGCTAATAAATGGACAAATTATGAAAAGAAAGGAGGGAACAAAAATAAGAAAATTTACAATGGTAGTTGGGTCTAATAAAAGAGGCTAGTCCTCTACAACGTGCTGAATTAGGTCCGAATTCCTACTAAAAGAAATGTTCATATTTAGTTCCCAATAGTCCCACCTCTTGTCATCCATGAACAAAAAGCAACTGTATTTATAAACATGATAGTAAGCCAGTAAATATATGAGTAGACATTTATAAGAATGGGAAATAAAACCCAAATTTAAAATATCATATTTAAAGTGCCAGGAATAAAATCAAGACAGTGGGGGGGGGAACACAGAATAAAATCTAGATAAATAAATAATTTCATAATCATTTAGTCACGTAGAATAGCCTGTCATACACTATACACATAGATTTAAAAATGCATGTTGTGATATGGACATTGGGTTTCTTTGACCTTAAAATAATACTATATTATGCAATGAGTTGAACTCGTAAAAACGTCAACGTACTAGCGATTTCACTGCAAATTCCCGATTCCACTCGAGTTGGCAGCGATTCCTACTCCTTCCAAGTCTGCAAGCTAACCAACACGAAAGGAGGAGATGTGATCGTGGATGCGTGCCGTTTTGCGTTTTGAAAAGTGTTGCCATATCACTTATATATTTAAAGGATATATTTTGATTTATGAGCAAAAGGTTCTGAATTTTATAATTAGTTTGCCACATTAATGAAGTACTTAAAAAACGTAGATGAATATCAAATGAAATATATCACCAGAATAATGTTTTATGAGTGTGTATGTGTATATATTGTTTTGGAGTGAATTAAGCATCAAGTAATATTATTGTAGCTCAATTCATTTGAGATATTATGGAGTTATTGATATATTTATTAATAATTAGTATTATTGTACTACTTCCACTCCTAATTATAAGATCCAGTTGACTAATTTGAAAAGATCAAGGAACTTAGTTAAGTTAGTTATTATAATGAATAGATGTTTTTCCTATAATATCCTTACTAATCAAATTTGTTATCTAGAACTATTATTATTAGAAGGATTATCTTCGAAAAAAATGGATAAATATGATAAACAAAATAGATTGGGATCTTATATTTAGAATTAAAATAAAAGTCAAACAATGTCTTATTTTAAAGGCCGAAGGTAGTATGTGTATATATGAGTCTGTATATCTACTTCCTCCATGCCATCATCTTTCTTCTTCTTTAACTTCTTCGTGCCTAGCTATTACATCCTTAAGAATGGGTAATTGTCGACACCTCTAGTCCTTCATCATAGCAACTAATGACCCCCATTGTAGGTACATCAATCTTTATACCCTTATCCATGTGATCTTCTATGGGGGTGATCTCAAGTACTTGGCTGCGCATAATTTTGCGACTTGTTTGATATTGCTTGCTTAGATGATTGGTGGACATCTGTTGTGCACGAATCATGGCCTTCCCATAAAAGGGAAGAAATAGTCGTCACTAAGATTTTAAAAGAATAATTTTAGAAACCTTTTATAAAAAGTAATCTATGAAATAGAGTAGGATTCAGGAGTCGATTATGCATATGGAAGGTGTTAGGCACCCCACAGCACCCATCTAGACTTAGGATAAAAGCTTAATGCCTACATACTTTTTAAAGGGAAAAAATTTTATTTAAAAATAAAGAAAAAATTTTATTTAAAAAAGGAAAAAAATTTTAAAAAAGAAAAAAAATAGTTTGTTTATAAATTTGAACTTGACTTAGGATAAAAGCTTAATGCCTACATACTTTTTAGAGGGATCAAAACCCACATAGTTTGAGGGTATAAATGCTTGTCACTTGGTTTTTATGAAAATATTTATACAATCAAAAACGATATTTTTGTGGGTTGATTTTTTCAATATATGGAAACAATTTTTGCATTTTTATTTAGAAAATATTTTTAAAAGAAATTTTGGATTATTCTCCTTGTAGAAATTCCCACAACCTCATGTGGAAGAATAATCGTTCAAGCCTGCGGAGGTTCTAAAAACCTCACACGGCTCTGAAAAACATTTTGAAATTATATATATAGTTTTTTAAAAAAAGATTTTTTTATTTTATTGTTCATTTATATACATTGGGCCAAAATTATTTCCTCACTTTTATTTTAAAAAGAAAACTTGCACAATTACATTGGTATTTCTGCTGAGACTCCCATAATCTTGTATGGTTTAGCAATAAATCTATATACCTGCAAAGGTTCAAAAAACCTCACACAGTATTTATTTTAAAAAAAGAAGTGCTTTCGAAAGTACAAGAAAAGAACACCTAAAAATCAATTCATTATGAAATTCAAACCAAACGCAGTAGATAGGAAGAGAAATCCATACATAATGCTCCACTTATCAATTGGCTTGCCTCCTTTCTCTAAAAATCTTTGTGTGTCTTCTTCTAACTTTTTCTCTCCTATTTATAGGCTCCAGCTAGAATTTTTTAATTTTCTTTCAATTTTTATTATTTTATTTTTCCTCCATTAGGACTCCTGACAATACTTCCCATTTAAACACAAAAGCATGATCAAATTGTGATTTTTTTAATTTTAATTTTTGTTTTTTAATTTTTTACAATAATGACACCAAAAGATATTTCCAAATTGTGACTTTCCCTTGATAATTAGTGTTTCTCTATATTTATTTGTTTCTCCACAAAGAACGACATCTCTAATGAATGAGTGAGGCTATTTGTGTCTTTTTTCCCCTAACATCTTGTACGTGAAAAACTGCAGTCGAAGTGTGATCCTACTTATAATGTTACTTTCAACTTAAAGCTAATTTCTGTCAAGTCGAAAGCATAAAAGTTAAAACCCTTACAACAAGTGCGTTTTTCGGGACTTGAAATTATATTCTCCTTCTTATAAAAGTGAGACTGCTTACCATCTCAACCAACATTTGTTTATTAATGTTTGCCTCTCTAAATTAGAAAATAAAAAAAGGCTCTCCTTTCTACCAAATATAGCCTTAATTCTAGGCATATGCCTATTAAAAAATATTCTCTAATCCTATCTATAAATCACTTCCAACATGTTTCATATCAACGAAGAAAAATCTTAGATTTTATTAACTCTCATTTAAAATTTAACAAGTTTTCAACTTTATCCCTATTCAATATACATTATATCTCATGTAAACAAAGTCAACATAATAATAAATGAAGGATAAAATTATACCCTATAAATAGAATCAGAAAATGTCTTCTCTCTCTACCTTATATAGGACCAAAAATATATATATACTACCTCCCGATCCTTAATATAAAAGTTACTTAGTTATTAAATTTAGTCCTAAATATAAGATCTCAATTTTATTTGTCTTTCAAATTTTTTAATTTATTCTCCAAAACATTCTATGCATTGTAAGGAGCTTCTGCTAAGAGATATTTCTAATACATATGATTAAATGTGATAGTTTAGAAAAATCAACACACATTTATTATAAATAATCAGCCTAACTAATTTTTTTTAATATCTTCAAATTAATTATTTAGATATTATACTAAGAACTAATGGTAGTATATGTGTGTGTTTTTATTTATTAATTCAATGAAATCATGCATAGAATATTTTATTAAAAATTCATATCCTTCTTAAAAATTACACATCTAAAGGAGCTTTCAATTAAAAATTCAAGCATATTGCGTCATCTTTTTTTTTTTGTGAGTGAAATATTGCATCATATTTTATTCTAAGAAAAAGTCCTATGATAACTCTCTATTTTTAATATATTTAAAGAACATTTTGAGTGATTTTTAGAGAGTTATTGATGCATTTTAGAAGATTTCTAAAAGTTAATTGGAAGACTTGATTTTGAGCATTATTTGGGGGATTTTATTATAAATATCTTAGTTTGAAATAAATAAAAATAATTAATACTAAGTTTAACATTTAGTTGATTTTATTTTATCTTATTCCAATTTCTTAGAGTTTATTTTCTTCTCTTTTATTTTATTTTCCAGTTTTTCCTTTTTATTGGTTTTATTTTATTTCCTTTCTCCTCCCTTGCATCAGTTGCACGTGCTGCACAAGAGGTTCTTGAGGAGGATATGAGGACGCACCGTTTGGAGCAATTGAAGGGGGGA